CCCAGAGTAGACCTTTGGTCTAGATGGGCGGGATAGAAATCCAATCAATCAATCAATCAATCAATCAATCAATCAATCAATCAATCAATCAATCAATCAATCATTTTATACCTTTTTATCTCCCTATCCTCTTATCAAAAGGAAAAAAGGACAATTTGGCAATTAAGGGATTATAGAAATTGGCCATTGAAAAATAATATACAGTAAATGTAAGCTGAATTAGACAAGGAAGGCAGAGAAAGGAAAGAAACATGGTCAATCATTAGAAGTTTCTTGCTGTCTAGAATTGTTTATATCTTAAAACATGAAGATAATATTTTTACAGTGCACCTTTCTAGATTTTTTAAAACCTGGCCTATGGCTCTTAGGTAATCATTACTGTACTATTATTATGCAGATATGTTTAAAAACCATTTCTGGCATAATAACAATCTTTTACTTTCTTGTGTATCTGAAACATAAGTTTTCTAAATAAGGAGAACTTGATTGTAACAGCTTAGCTATTATTTAACACATTGTTTCTGCACAGAAGTGACATGATACATTTATAGTAATACCCATAACACTTTTTTTAAAGGTGCAGTCAAGAGGAATGTTTGCTGTGGGGACTTATTCACAGGGTTCCTCAACTGTTTGCAGTCTATATTACATGTAGGTACTAAGAGGAGATAAAGAATCATGGAATGATATAACAAAAAGCCAAAAATCTTAAATATTACAACAAAATATTTATATTTCACAAACCATATATTATTTGTTGCCATATATAGATCTTAATCTGCATTTAATGGCAATCTCATTTTTTAAAAAAAAAATTATAGTACAATCTTGCATGTTTATTTAGAAATGTTCATAGAACCTAAAAACAACAGCATCAAAACTTCAGATCCGAACACTACATTGTAAATTAATCTAAATAGATCTTGTATTATACTTGAGATGAGGGAGACAACATGGATAGAGCTACTCCCAGAATTCACCAGGGATCCCTTATAGTAATGCTGATTTTTTTTCTATTTTTAAACAAGAACTATGGCCCACACACATTTGTTTAACAATGAAATGGGGCAAGGGGAGTTTTATGTTACGTCACTTAAACTCAGCAGTATGGAGTCCATGGCCGAAAAGTCTATGACCTGCTTCTGTTTTAGATTCAAATTTACCAATACTTAAAACAACAATAACAACCCACAACTAACCATATCTTAGAATTGCATTGAATTTCAATGGTAAAAGAACAATTTCTAAAGCAATCATATCGTCATATTGCCAACTGTTTTAGAAATCCCAAAAGAAGTAGCCATATTAGTCTGTGCTAGCATATCAGGCAAAAAGAAAAGTAAAATAGACTGAGGAAGTGGATTTATCCACAAAAGCTAACATTAAAATACAAACTAAAGTATGCTGCTTATATACCACCCCAAAGTGCTTCAAGCACTGTCTGGGTGGTTTACAAATTAATTATGCAGGCTACACATTCCACCCATCCCAATCCCCGGCAAGCTGGATACTCATTTTACCAACTTCGGAAAGACAGAAGCCTGAGCTAACCTTGAGCTGGCTACCTGGGATTGAACTCCTGGTTGCAAGCAGTTTTGGCTGCAGTACAGCAGTTTAACCACTGTGCCACAAGGCACCTAATAATACAGTCATTAGTCTTTGAGGTGGCCCATTTTTGTCTATATATATATAATGTATATATATAATGATTCACTCATTACTACTCTTTTACTGTTGTCTCCACCCAAATCAGTCCTCTGAAAGATTTTAATTTTTGATAGCCTGTTGCAATCTCAAATGCTTACAGACACATATTCAGGAATAGAAAGCTCTTCTTCTGGAAGAGATTTGAGTTTGTCGTAGCATTCGTCAGTCAATTCAAGATCACGCAAGCTCCTCCGAATATCTCCAGATCGCTCTCTTAACTGATTATTATTCTTTTCTAGTTGCTTTTGGTGTAGTAAGATAGTTTCCATTTCCTGTTTCATTAATTCTTGATGTTTTCTATGGAAACAGTTAAAACATTATAAAATTAATTCATTCTATAAAACTGATAATTTTAATTCTTTAAAATTATAAACAGTAATCTCATTAGAACTACCAATACTTACTAAAACAGATAATTAGTTTATTTTCCCTGAATATTACTCTACATATTTAGTTTAACAATGCAAATGTACTTATCAAAGTTTTTCTTCTTCCGTAACCATTAGAAACACTGATCATTCTGTGAAGTTTCTCTGTAGCTGAATTCTGTATTTTAATGTATGGTGTAATAACACTTACTGCTGAATAACAATTATTAGGAACAATGACCTAGGTAATAATTTCATTTTTGTGCATACGGCTCTCAGGTAATAAGACAGAAAATAAAAGGATCATCTACCCAGTGCATTTTCCTCTCAGGAAACTGGAGCACAAGATAGTCTTGCCTCTGCCTTCAAGAGACAATAGAGAATCACCTAAAAGCTACTTTTTAAGTTCATGGAGATGGCATAATGCATGTTAAGCTATAGAATACTTCATTAGTAAAATATTTCTCTCTCTCTCTTTTATGCATTCTCTCTGATTTACTATGCATTTTAACATAAATCAAATAGATGAGAAAGTGACAGAACACTTTTATGAAACAGAAAATAAATTTATGCACAGTTCATTTTTAAAGCTGTCTGATGATGTTTGCATATTTCAAGTCAAGTCAAGTCAAGAACCTTTACTGGCATCTGAAAAGGAACATATAACACAACAGGCAACAGTCCTCACCCAGATGAGAAGTGTATGCCCAGTTAGAAAGGAAACAAAGAGGGCGAGTGGCATAAATACTGATGAAACCACTAAATGAACGCAATTCATTTGAAAGAACAGCTAGATATCAGAAGCAAGGTTTTGGCAAAACTGGGAAGTTATTGATTACATCCCATGACGGCAGAACAAGACATTTGTTGGAAATTGTGACCTGCGTCACTGCATTAATAGATTTTTCACTGCAACTCTAGAAGTTTTTAATACAGTGATTTAGCATGCTTGTGCTGTAAAAGCTATAGCAGTGGAATTTTAATACTTTAATGCTGTAGACACCATAATTTGATTTGTAAAACCCAAGCCAATCAGAAAAACAGTTACGCACCAAAGGTTTAATAATAATTGAAAGGCTGTCACAACCAATACTGCTTCTCAATGAACTGAAGTTTACATTAACAGAAGGACAATCGGCTTCCCACAGCTTTTTATGTAAGTAATTATCTACTTTCATTCATACAGCACTTGTTATAACAAAAAGAGACTATTCATTAGTTTATTATGAGTTGAACTTCTATCCCACTCCCTGTTTCCAGTGAACTCAAGAGGCATATGACTTTCCATTTCTCGCTTTATTGTCACAATAGCCCTGTGAGGTGCAATGAACATATTTCATGAATGAATGGGGATCTGAACCCAGTCCAACTATCTAACCACCACCCCTCACTTGATTCACTGCAAAAGACAGTAAGCCTGGGAAATATGGAAGGAAGTAGGAAAAGAGGATGACTGAGCAGAAGATGGACTGGCTCAATAAAAGAAATGACGGACTTAAATTTTCAAAACCTGAGCAAGGCAGCTAACCATACGACCTTTCAGAGATTACTATTTCATAGGGTCACCTAGTGACTTGACAGCTCATAACAATGGCTGGCTGCATTTATTTATTTATTTATTTATTTATTTGTTTGTTTGTTTGTTTGTTTTATATCCCACCTATCTGATCTTACGACCACTCTAGGTGGCTTCCAATACAGCATAAAACAGCAAATAAAAACAACACAACAATTATTACATAAATGACTTCATAACAATTTACAATACAGGAAAAAATAAAGTAAAAATAAATAGAGAAAAATAAAAGAAAGAAAAAAGATCACGTATTGACTGGAGGGAAGGCCTGAATAAACAGCCATGTTTTTAGTTGATTTATGTATTTCTTAGGTTAGTTTACATAGGACTGCAAACTTAATATGACTTCTTACTGCCTTAATTTAATATGATTTCATTTAAGTTCTGATACAGAAGAGAAGTGAAACTTCCTTGGTTTGGATATTTCAAAAAAAGTGGAGCAAGGGCAAAAATTTGCAAGAGGAGTAAGGAGCACAGTGACCTGAGGGTCCTGCCAGGCTCATTCATAGAAGCCAGCAATGGTCTGATGTTGTGTCTACTCTATTTTGAGGATCTGAACTATAAACGTAAAGCTTACAAAAGTGTTCATGAAAAAAATGAAAGGGAACTATGAGTTAGCTCCTACTTCAGAGCTCAAAAAACAGTCGTGCTCAGTTCTCTTTCCATACCGAGCTTCTTCTTGCTGTAATGCCAACTGGTTATCTAGCCGTAAAGATAACAGCTGTTTCCCATGGAGAGCATCATTAAGTTTCTCTTCCAATTCTTCAATCTAAAACAGGTAATTAAGTAGAAGAAAAACAATGATAATTGAAGTAAGTCAAGTTCAGATTTTTATGAGATCCTGAATTATACAAAAAAGAGGAAATCACTTCATTACATCACAAACTACATTACTAACAACAACAACAACAACACCAACAATAATAATCTTAGAACTATCAAGCTGGAAGGCATCCTATAGATCATTGAGCCAATCTCTCAGACACAGTGGGGAATCAAATCCCCATTTTTTTTTAATCTCATGCTTTCCTTAAAATAAACACTGTACTGATTTTCGTGAACTGCAAGTTACATATACATTTGAAATACCATGCTTATGGGTTGCAGGATTATTCTGCAGAAGCTGTTCAAGATCGCTGCTCTCCTGAAACCAGCAACCTTTGATGCCTCTATAGAAGACATCCCATCATGGTTCAACAGAGGTGGGAAAAGGGAACTAAGGTTATTTCACTGGTTCTCCTGATACGCAGTGGCTTTTGGCTTTCTTTCAACTGGCACAAAAGTGATTCCTAAACTGTTTCTGTGCCAGCCAACTATTCTAAGAACAGAAAGCACATTCCTCTCCTCTACACCAGTTCTTCCTTTCATGATTCCATATTTACACTATAAACCTTAGCAAAGCGTGCAAAGCGTGCTGCTTATATACTGCCCCATAGTGCTTCAAGCACTCTCTGGGCGGTTTACAATTTAATTATGCAGGCTACACATTGCCTCCCCAGCGAGCTGGGTACTCATTTTACCGACCTCGGAAGGATAGAAGGCTGAGTCAACCTTGAGTCGGCTACCTGGGATTGAACCCCAGGTCGTGAGCACAGTTTTAGCTGCAGTACAGTGGTTTAACCACTGCGCCACGAGGCTCAAATACACTCATCTTCATTTAATCCACTAGTTGCTCTGAGGCCTCTGTCCCTGGGCAAGCGTGCAAAGGTCTCTAGAGATAGACGGAAAGAACTTAAGGGCTGCCCAGACTAAGCAGAAGACCTGGTATGACAAGAAAGCCCGTGAAAGAACGTTTGGGACTGAAGATGAAGTTCTTTTACTTAGGCCAGTCAAGGGTCACAAGCTACAATTAGCTTGGGAGGGTCCCTATAAAATAATTTCTAAAATGAACAATGTTAATTATGTAATACAGAAAGAGGAAGATGTAAGCCCTGATGCCTTAAAGAGGGATGCATCTGAAGATGTTCGAGAGGAGGAGAGGGAACTGCCTACCCTTTCCCTAGCTGAGCAAGTGAACCCCCGAGCCAGACTTAAAGCTGACATCACTAGAAAACGACCAGCAGACGATATCCAGTGGTCAACCGAGTGACCGATGACCGCCAATCGACGGAAAAGGTTACGGAGGAAGGAGCCATTTTGAAGGAGGAGTGCAATGGCCCACATTTCCCTCCATCTCTAATTTACGCTACCAGGAAATTATTTGGTTATTAGGTATCCCTCTTGCCACTGTATTGCCAAATGGAAGAGGGCAATTCATGGATCCCCCAAAATTCATTCTGTCCCCATTGCAAAGGCTGGGAATTGATCTGGTGGGTCCTCTACCTAAAGCCACCAGAAGGGGAAATAAATACATACTGACCATTATGGATTTTGCCACCAGATATCCCGAGGCAATTCCTTTATGTAACATGGAAACTGACATGGTGGCAGACGCCTTACTCAATTACATGAACTGACTGGGATTTGCTAGTGAAATAGTCAGTGATTTGGGGATGAGCTTGACCTCCAAATTGATAAAAAGGTTATTATGGAAGGCCCGTGGGCTTACCCAAATCAACTCTGCACCATATCATCCTGAGACTAACGGACTAATTGAAAATTTTAATGGTTCATTAGTGCGCATGATTAAGGCTTATGTAGCAGAGAACCCAAATGATTGGGACTGCAAAATACAACCCTTACTATATGCCTATAGGAGCATTCCGCAGGGAAGCACTGGATTCAGTCCTTTCGAGTTGCTGCTAGGATGGGAGGTGCACGGATCTTTAGATTTGCTCCGCATGAACAGGATCTGATGTTGGTTACTGTTTCCCTCCTCTAAACTAAGGCACCCCAACTGAGCTTGAGGCTTGGACCTCACTCTTTCCACAAGGTTCCCTGCTCTCTGGACTTTCTTGGCAAGAACCTCCTATCATTTTCTCTTCCTCCACCTCCACTGGTAACTCTGCCAATCAGCAGCATAATCACCTTCCATGGACAGAATGATCCTGGGGAGATAATCTGAGGGATGACTGGGGTGGAAGGCATGGGGGACAGCCCAACTCTGGAACCCTTACACAGGATCACATAATGCTAATCTTAAAATGTTAAGTCTTTTCCAATTGGTTCTAGCAATCCAGTCACAAATCTATGTACAGTGGTGCCTCGCTTAACGATTGCCTCATTTAGCGATGAATTCGCATAACGATGATTTTTTAGAAAATAATATGCACCGTATAACAATGTTTCCTATGGGCGATTTTCGCTTAGCGAAGTTTGGGACCAAAATTAACGAAAAGTCAGATCAAAGCCAAATTAACTTTTGCATCCATTTTAGAGGGTGCAGAAGCTAATCCAAGCATTTAAAACCATTTTGACCCTTTTATGACACACTTAAATTTGCAAAAATTGACTTCGCAAAGCCATTGAAATGTATTGAGTCAGCTTCAATACATTCCAATGGAGGAAACATTGTATCGTTTAACAATGTTTCCTATGGGTTTTTTCACTTAAGGACGGCAATCCGTACCTATTGGAACAAATTAACGGGTTTCCAATGCATTCCTATGAGAAATGGTGTTTCACATAATGATGTTTCACATAACTTTTTCTTTTTTGGAACCAATTAAAATCGTTATGCGAGGCACCACTGTACTTGTAAACAAGTCCCACAGATCTGAAAGGGAATCACTTTCATGTAAATACTTTTAGGAAGGGTTGTAAGGATAAATCTTTGTCAAGCATAACAGGTAACTCCTATATACATGATACAAACAATTTCACATATGCATGACTGTATTTATTAATGTCTGCACTGTTTTGATCAAGGCACTCAAAAAAGTCCATTCTAACCAATGCAATTGTTTCAAATGTAAGATGCTTGTTTTCTTACACATTTCCATTTTCTGCAAATTGGTTTTTTAACAAAGGTACACTTCTAAATAATAAGAGTTAAGAGACATAAGCATGCTGTAAAATTGACTAACGTTTGTTTCTTCTATAACCCTTCTTTTAAAAAGCAACATGCAAGAGCCTATAAATACAGCTACCTACATTCTCCCATTTGCAACTGTAAAAAAATCAAACATAGAAAAACTGGTTCTTACTTTTGTCAGATATTCCACCTTCAAGTTGTCTAGCATCAGGTTCTTCTGGGAAAGCTCTATTTTCAGTAACTGGAGATTATGAAGCAGCTCTTTCCGCTCAATAAGCTGTCTAGTAATTTTGACAGTACCTTCCCGATCCTCCGAGGAAGAAACGTCATCTGTGGGTACTGTAGTCTCCAAACTAATATCTTCTGATTCCAAAGAGCTGGAGACATTAACATTTTTAGATTCTCTGGAGCCTTTCCGTGACATTTTCACAGCATTTGTTCGTTTAACAACTCAAGCAACTTGAATAGGTAAAAATAAAGTAAACAAAGGTGTGTTACAGATTTCGAACTGCTTCACACAATATACAAAACAGTGCACATGAACAAAATCATAAACTGACGCCCACATGTTATCTAATACCTAGATAATTTTAAAACAGTGCACATGAACAAAATCATAAACATGTTATCTAATACCTAGATAATTTCCTTGTTTGAATTATAGCATTTGAGCAGTGGCTGGTATTCTCTTGCACAGCTTGGTTGGTCTGCACAGTGGGAATGAAGTCTTTTTCAGGTTTCCCATAGCAAAAGAATTGCTTTTTTTGATTTTGAGATGTGTATGACTCACAGGAAATGAAATCAAAGCACACATACTCCAAAACTGAAAAAAGGAAATTTATAATAAGTGGTAAGTTGCCTCTAATTGTTTCTACTGCATATATAGACGTGCACAATCGAATATTGACCATTAAGATATTACATTCTATGACACAGGACCTTATAGTTGCCAAAACTGCTCAATATTCATTTGTTAACTACAAAAAAAAATCACAATATCGCATAAGGAAATCTATATTATTGTGAGCAGAAGAACAAGAGTGAGCCATCCTCACTAATGAAAACAGAGGAAGAAAGTGAAGGATGTGTAGTGGGAGAGCTGATCAAACTGGACGAAGAAGAGAGTGGGACTAACAAAGCAGTAGAGGTGTTCCTAGCAGAGAGGTCTAGATTGGGGGGAGAAGTTGGAGGAGTGGAGATGGGATGACAATATAAAGGAGGGGAGGAAGGAAGAAGGGAGGGAGATCGTTGATGGTGAATAAGGAGATACAGATGATAGAGACCAGAACAGAAAGGGAAAAGATAGCCAAACTGGTAAAGAATTTCCCGAACCTCATGAGAGAGGATGGGTTGCTGCCTTTGCCTAAGGAAGTAAAGAAGTTTGGAGCAGGTGAGAAGAAGAAGGGATGGAACCGGGAAGCGGGTTTGATTATTCCCCCTATGGAGGATTGCGAGATCCGTTGTGGGGTCAGCCCCTTTCTACCCAGGTTGGAGGGTTCCGTCGTGAAGCATCCCTGTTGCGGGACATGTGCGGTGCTGAGTTCACCGGCCTTGAACCAGAACGTAACCCCCCTCTTTGGGATGAAGAAACTATAAGAGTTAAAGAAGTAGAGACGGGAACTAAGCCTAAGAAATATACCGTATTTTTCGCACCATAAGACACACTTTTCCCCCCACAAAACAGGGGGGTGGAAAGTCTGTGCGTCTTATGGAGCGAAGAAAACAGATTATATTTTCCTGTTTTCTTCTCCTAAAAAATTGGTGTCTTATGGAAAGGTGTGTCTTATGGAGCGAAAAATACGGGTAACTTGTTAACTGATGAAGAGTTGTTGGACCCGTTTGGTCTGGAGTTATCTGGTGTTAAAGTTAATAAAGCAAAACCGTTTGGAACTATGACTTCTACTCCAGCTGTCATTCTCGCCAATTCCTTGGGCCTGCCTACCTTAGACAGAGAACCCAATCACAACTATGTACTTCATAGTACCATCCAAAATACAGTGGTGCCTCGCACAACGATTGCTTCATACAACGATGAATTCACACAGCGATGGGTTTTTTTGAGGAATTTCCCCCATCGTTTAACGATGTTCTCTGTGGGGGAATTTCACTTAACGATGTCCCTTTTTGCTCATTTAAAAGTGTCTTAAAATGTTTGAAACCTGTTTTAAATGCTTGGATTCCATAGTGCACCTTGTGAAACATGTGCAAACTTAATTTGGTTTTGTTCTGAGTCTTCATTAATTTTTGATGATTTCATTCCAATGAGAGAAAATTCAAAAAATCACCATAAATTAAGGACGACTCAGAACAACACCAAATTAAGTTTGCATAGGGTTCAGGAGGTGGGCTAACGATTGCAAGCATTTAAAACCTGTTCCAAACATTGTAAGACCCTTAAAAATGAGCGAAAACGGAAGAGCTTCAAAAGCACTGAAGCCGGCTTCAGTGCTTTTGAAGCTCTTCCGTTTTCGCTCATTTTTAAGGGTCTTACAATGTTTGGAACAGGTTTTAAATGCTTGCAATCGTTAGCCCACCACCTGAACCCTATGCAAACTTAATTTGGTGTTGTTCTGAGTCGTCCTTAATTTTTGGTGATTTTTTTAATTTTCTCTCATTGGAATGTATTGAACTTTCCGTCCAATGCATTCCAATGAGAGAAAATTCAAAAAATCACCAAAAATTAAGGACGACTCAGAACAACATCAAATTAAGTTTGCATAGGTTTCAGGAGGTGGACTAACCATTGCAATCATTTAAAACAGTGTTCAAACATTGTAAGACACTTTTACAGGAGCGAAAAAGGACTTCGCAAAGGCATTGAAATGTATTGAGTCGGCTTCAATACATTCCAATATAGGAAACATTGTTTCACTCAACGATGTTTCCTATGGGGATTTTCACTGAACGATGGCAATCTGTTCCAATTGGAACGGATTAACCAGTTTTCAATTCATTCCTATGGGAAATGGTGTTTCACAGAACGATGTTTCACACAACGTTGATTTTTTTGGAACCAATTAACATTGTTGTGTGAGGCACCAGTGTAATAAAAAAATGCCAGCTGTACTTATTGGAAATCCCTCTTGTGACAGCACAAATACTCTTATGCTGTCTGATCTCAGATCTGCTGGCACAACTTCTATGGTGTCCAAACCTCCTAGCAAGGATTGAAAAGGTGAGCAGGATTGAAAAGGTGAGCAGAGGTGAAGATGAGTACTGCCAAATTCAAATTTCAGCCCAGACCCACAGGCACAATGACAACACAAATTTATGTCAGGGTCAGGTTCTTCTTAAATACAGTAATTCCCAGCATCCCTAGAGTGGGAGATGTTTGAATTCAGCCTAGCTTCATTTGGCTCACTGTCAGTTCAGCAATCTTGACTAGTTAGGTTTGTGCCACTGCATACATACACACAGAAATAAGAAAGTTTGGCTGTTAAATTTAAAACTTGAGAATTATCTGTGTATTCCCCAAGAGGTTAACATTAAATGAAATTAAAACTCTTCTGCTTGCTTGTTTATCACTAATCTGAAATTTACTGGCTCAATTCAAACTCCGAAATATGCCTGTGGAATTAACATTTACAAGCAACATGCTGGTATATACTGCCTGATCTTCTGTTGCAAGCTTAAGTGGATAAATAACTCGTGGTCCCTTCTCCCATGATTTGTTTATTGTTATGCTTGAACTGGGAACTCTAGCTTGTTTCTACTCCAGTGATACAGGCATAACATAGTTTATGACTCTTAGTTCTTGAGAGAGAGAGAAAGCCACAGCTGTTGTATCACATATCACACTAAATTAAGTATAGATGGAATCTCTGAGGTTTGTTTAGCTGCTGCCACTTGCATGAACAGCAGCCTTCATATAGTCTGTACCAACTCAGTAACTTGCCGAGAATATGCCACAGATACTGGTTTACTGTGATGTGCATAGGCAGCTAAGGAGCAAAAACTGGGCTGCATCTGTATATTCTATAAAGGAAGATTTAATAATATGCTAAGGAATCTAGGGGAGCTTTTGGCTTATACGTTTGCCTTCCATTTCTTCCACCAAAACCATTACAAAGAGTAATTTACTACTGTTTTCTGTTACTTGTACCTTCACATGTCACACAAACATGACAAGCTAAGCTTCAGATTATTGTTGTTTAGTCATTAAGTTGT